TTGCACATATCTGGTGGCACTATAAAGGTGTTTTTATATAGCAGTAGGAATTGGCAGATTTACAGTTAATGAATCCTTCTCAATTTCTATAACGCATGTATTTACTTTCTGGTTCAGGGGTATGGTTGTCCAGGTTTATCAGTAACTGGAAGTGCCATTGCCCTAGCAGAAATTGCCAGAGTTGATGCAAGCTGCTCTACATTCATTTTGGTGCATTCATCTTTGGCAATGCTCACTATTGGTAAATTAGTTTATTAACCGAAGTTTCTGTCTGCACCATTTTTATTTATTTGGAGCTTTGGGAATTTCAGACGTAATCGTCTTAAATAACGATATACAACTTCTTATACATCGATTTTCTTTCAACAATAGGACTATTGGGATCCGAAATGCAAAGGCAAAAATACTTACCATCTCTGGCTGAACTTAGCAGTATATCTTGTTGGGTAAGATGCTTGGTTAGTTGTTGATTTTGCATTAGCATCTGTTCTTCTATCGATAAGTAGTTATAATCTTAATCTTTTGGGAATTAGGGTCTAACTGAGCCAGACTATGGAAGTGATGCAAGTGCTTTGAGGACCACTGCCACAAAGGTCTAGAATCTAAAATTTAATCCTGGTTATTAATGTATATACCGTTCATCATTATTTTGTTCTTTTTAGGGTAAAAGGCTGCTTAATATGTGCCCCTTCCCTTTCTTTTGCAATCTCTAATGGTTAGGTTGAAGGAGGTTGGATCCTTGAAGGGCAAAAACGGTGGATAGGAAACAGCACTTTTGCGGATGTGTTGGTTATATTTGCTAGAAACACAGCCACAAACCAAATAAATGGGTAAGTAACAGTATGCTTTCTAGATAATGAAGTCCACCACATCTTTCACTTATTGCAAGCATGACTTGAAACCATTCTGAAAGTGTCTTGTGATATAAAATTCAGTGTTTACTAGCTTTCACCATCTTGAGACTTGGGTTTAGTTTAGGATAAATTCTGGGATTTATTTTTCTTTTAACCTTGTAGAACAATTTGGTTGTTACTTGTTCCTATACCCAGTATGGATTCTAGAAGTATAACTATAATACTGAGTTTTGTAGGAGGTCCCTTTGCTTGTACCCCCCTCTCACTGAAATATACATTCTGTATGTCCCTCTGCCCTGAACTTCTAATTTTTGTCTCAAAATTGGTTATTGTGTTTGTCTCAGTTTCATTGTACAGAAGGATGCTCCAGGCTTGCAATCCACTAAAATAGAAAACAAAATTGGGCTGCGGATGGTTCAAAATGGAGATATCCTCTTTAAGAAAGTGTTTGTTCCTGATGAGGATAGACTACCAGGTGTCAATTCTTTCAAGGATACAAGTAAGGTATGGCTGTGATGCTTAATTGAGGATGATGATGCAAAATGTGCACATATGCTTGTTTACTAATAAAGCTTGAGCAGAAGTACCATCCTGAAGTTATTGTTAGTTTATATACTAAAAGGTTTCTCACTAATGGTTGGTCCGACAAGGGAACAAGAATCACATACTTACCATGTGAATTTAGACCTTAAACCTTAAGAGAATGAATTAATGTGTACTTGTAGTGATGCTAATAAAGTTATTTATATTCTTGAAAATATACCCATCCTCCACCAAACGCACCAACCCCCTAAACAAGAAAAAAGAAGATTCATTTTGGAAAAATACATAGCTATCCACAAAAAAGGAGGAAAAATGGATTAATTTTTAAACTCCTCTGATCACTATCTTAAGTTTACTAATGCATTTTTTCTTGCAGTTCAATTGTCATACTAATTGATAAAGTCATTGTTCTCATTATAACAATTTCCTGTCTTTATTCCCAATAATCCAAGCATGCATCTTTACCATTCAACTTTCTTGAAGTTCTTTGATTTAAAATTCTGTCCTTTTTACGTTATTGTCAATATTTTGCTACGTCAATTACTGAAGTAGCTGAAATTGTCTTTGACAGTCTATACTTTGTTCCTTGAATAGGTGCTTGCTGTATCACGTGTCATGGTTGCGTGGATGCCTATAGGCATTGCAATGGGTGTATATGATATGTGTCACAGGTAGTAGTTTAAATTAGATCACTTGTTTTATTTGGCCCCAACGATAGTTAATTATTATACTGCATGCACTTTGGTTTAAATGACTTCAAGTTAACTCCTGCTGGGTAAAATAGGGGAAGTTCATTTTTGAGATTGCTATTGTCTATGATGTCCTTTTGATAAGGATTTGAGGAAAAGAACTAGGTTACGAATTGAAGCATAGTTATTGCATCTTTCATGTCTCATCATTCAACATATAATCTGTCATGAAAGTTATTTACTTCACAGAAATGCAGGGTAAGACTGCATAAAATAGACCTTTGTGGTTGGCCCTTCTCCGGACCCCGTGCATAGCAGGAGCTTAGTGAACCAAGCTTCTCTTTTTTTGTATAATAGAACAGTCAATCTATAAGATATTATAGTTCATTGAATCTCTCAAGAAATAAGTAATTGTATATAAAGTGATCCTAGAAGTTAGTAGCTTCTATTTAGAATACCTTTAACATGAAGCGGGTTAGAAGAACTTCCGTTAGCATTCTGTTGTACCCCTCAATCTTTCGTTCAATGCTTTTATATAGTGTTACCTAGTTCAACATTTCTATGGGCTAAATCATTTTCTAACTTCAAGGTATTTAAAAGAGAGGAAGCAATTCGGAGCTCCATTGGCTGCTTTCCAGCTAAATCAACAGAAGCTGGTGCAGATGTTGGGAAACATTCAGGCTATGCTTCTTGTTGGATGGCGCCTTTGCAAGTTGTACGAGAGTGGTAAAATGACTCCTGGTCAGGCTAGCTTGGGGAAGGTATAAGACCTTATTCTGCAGATTTTTAAAGTGGTTATGGATTGATCTTTTGCACTGATTAACAAATCGTTTTTTTCTAGTCATGGAATACCTTGAGGGCTAGAGAGACCGTTTCTCTTGGACGAGAATTACTTGGTGGTAATGGTATCTTGGCGGATTTCCTAGTTGCAAAGGTTTGTGGATGAAAACCACAGGATACTTTATTTTCATATTTCTTTTTTACTTGTATAGTTGTGTAGATCTCATTTCAGCAGCAGCTTACTTATTGTGGTCTCGTTTCTCCATATCTGTAGGCATTCTGTGACTTGGAGCCCATCTATACGTTCGAGGGTACCTATGATATCAACACCCTAGTAACAGGTAGAGAAATTACAGGTCTTCCTAGCTTCAAGCCAGCACCATTGAGGCCACAGAGTCGTCTGTAATGCTTCGACCATCTTCCTATTCTCTGGAAATTGTTCTGCTGAATTCAGTGCACATTAGAGTACTTGTGCTGAAAAAAGGGAACAAACTTGAGGATGTTTAATCTCTTTTAATTTCCAGGATCATTATCATAAATAAGTCTATTAGAATAAAGTGTAACATTGTTATATGTGAACTTGTTCATTATTACGTATCGATTTGGCTATGTAAGCCAGTATCTGGAGTTATCTTTCTGATTTTATATGAATTTTCTTATTTGAGATTTTGAAAAACTCACACCAATTAACTCGTATTCATATTACAATATTCAGACACAAATAAAGAGAGATTATGAAATAATATACAACAATCATTCAAACAATCTGTTAAAAGTTTTGATGTGCATAGGTATGGACATGGATGTTAAGTTTTGATGTAAAGCATTCAGGCTAAAGTGTAATGCTGAATATACAAAATTACCTAATATAGCAATTATTTTTTACCTTTCTATCACTCTTAATAGTGTGATATTTCTAGTCTCAATTTATAGGGAAGAGGGTCTGATATATCCCTTAACTTTGTCATTTAGAGCTGATATATCATCGTTATAAAAATGGCTCATATATATCCCTATTGTTATACAAATGGCTCACATATACCCTTTTCTCTAACGAAAGTGAGTTTAATTTTTTAATAACTTTTTTAAACAAAGTATAATCCCATATGGGAATACTTAACCCTACTCAAACATATATTTTTTTGACTTATTTTTTGTTTCAATGACTAATTTAGATTTATTATTTTGATGGTCAAATTTATTTATGTTTCACTAATATTCTTGTAAAATTTATTATAGATAACCCAATTTTTTTTTCCAAATACAAAAACTAAATTACAATATAGCCGAAAAAATAGTTTTAAATTATAATATAGCCACAAAAAAATTGTTTTAAATTTTTTTCTTACATTAAGGAATAAAAGAAAATAATAATAATAAGAAACTCAAATAATGATAATCAAAGAAGTCAAAAAATAATTTATGTATGGAAAATATTAAAATATACCTTGAACTTTGCTAGAAGTATCATATATACCCCAAAATGATTTTTTTTTTAAATTAAAGGCTAAATATATAAATTTAAAACTAATTTTTTCATTCCCGTTAAATGAAGGGTATATGTGAGCTCATTTTGTAACGGTAGAGGTATATGTGAGCCGTTTGTACAACGACAAGGGTATATATGAGCCACTTTCATAACAAGGGGCATACCAACTCCAAATGACAAAATTGAGGGGTATATCAAACCCTTTTCCCCAATTTATATGCAGATTTTTTTGAATTAGTACCATAAAGAATGATATATTTTTATATTTGTAACAATTTAACTTGAATACTTGATAATGCTCCTTTTACCTTTGATGAAATGATTTATAGCACTACTTATTTTCGGTTCCCTTTGAGGCTCTCCATAATCCAATCAATAAGCTAATACTTATCAGTTCTCACTTAATAATAACATATACAAGCAAAATCAAGCAGGGTTATATAACACACAAGGCCCCGTGAAATTTTATTTTAACAATGCAACATTTTCTTCTCAAAAGATTCGGAAAAATAGAAATATTTATTTCCATGATGCAGCATATGTTTTTTTTTTTAATTTAAAAAAGTGCTAATATCGAAAAAAAAACCACTTGACATTACTGCTAATTGTATGCCACGTCTGGATATTAATACTTTGCAACAAATGTTTTGACTAGATGAAAATCTACAATCATCAATTCCCTCAATCAGGATGTAAACATTATTGGGATATGAACTTAATTATAGCCTTATTTAAGTCAGTTTTTACCTCAGTCCCAAACAAGTTGGGGTGAATCAAATTTGATACAAGTAAAATATATATTATCAGTCATGTTTCCCTTTACTATAAGGTTTTCTGATATTTGGTTATAACACAACAATGCTTGCTGCTCCTTCCATTGTCCCGGGAGTCCTCCTAGTTCCCGAATTTTTTGATGGCTTGGCTTAATTCAGGGGTTCAATAGCAGTCAGGTTCACGAAGCAAAAATGCTTCATGGTTCTGGTTATCTACTATGATATGATGGTCAGACTTACAGCAGTCCACACAATCGAGGTCTTGAGCAGATTTGCCTTCCATTTGATTTGACTAGTGCCATAACTCCAGCAGTTACACCAGCACACACTGCAGAGGACAAAATGCTGTTTGTATTTCGTCCTGCTACATAAAGTAGATTATGCTAAATTAGAATCTTGAGAAATGAAACTATAAGATAAGACTTTGGCAAATACTCTGCATACTAAATCTCATTCAGTTCTATTAAAAAATGGAAGTAGAAAATGATACCTTGGTTAATCGTGATGTTGGTCACGGTCAATCCACCAATTAAAAGTGCCGATGCTACTGGTAGATACTGCAATGATTTGTTCATATGATCAATAATCAGTCCAACAATGTGTTACAAAAGGAAATAGGTAATATGACCAGGCTAAATTACTGCAACAATTCAGTAGTTATTAAGACAAGTAACCACTTGGCATGGGTTTATGTTTTTTCATTATAATCTGGTCATTTTCTGGTCAATTGCTTTAACAAGTTTGCACCACACACCAACACTAGTGTGTAAAAGCAGCTATACTGTCATAGAGATTTAACTTTGTGAAAACAGATTGTAAGATTCATGATTCTACAGGATGGAGAAGCCCGTCTATAATATAGGTTATTTATTTAAAGACAGTCATTGCTTACACTGAGTGAGTCGAATCCATTATTCCGGAACGGAGAGGGGCTGTCCCTGTTAACACTGTAGCGACCACTTATAAGGTCCGCTGCATCCTGCAAGTGCATGGAAAGTATATGAAGATTCACTTGCAATGAAAAGAGAATAAATAAGAGAGGATCATTTCATAGTAAGATAATGTCTGCAGCATGCCTGGCGAATTCCATCCTGAAAATTGTTCAAGAAGTATCTTGAAATGGCACTCATCCCATCTTTTATAAGTCCTGTCATAGTCTGTTTTCCATATCTGGTACATTTTTCAAAGTAAATTTAAGGTAGAAAAATGATGCTTTTGCATTGATTTTTTTAACCCAAAATATTTCGTCCATTACCTGACAAGGTCCCGTTTTAGAGCATGTGTTCCAGAATATTCCAGGCTGATTTCATCACCTTGCTCCACCCACACTGCAATATTATTAGGAGTATGAAGTCTAAATAGACAAAGATTGCAAGTATGCATTTATTGGACCACGAATGTTACAGAGTCCATACTAGTCTTAAAGATTTCAAAATCTTCAGTGAACATAGAAATGCACTCATTTGAAGAAAGTGCACCAAGTCTTTGGAGTTGAGAATCCAAAGACTTCCGAGCCAGGTAGCTCTGCACAAGATAACAGCAGATTATAAAGGGAAAGTACAAGGGGAATCACCATATAAAATAAACAATATTCTGTGTGTTTGAAGGATTTCAAGGACTCGTTCATCGAATAAAGAATAGATGTGGTTCCTCCAACCTGAGTAACATTTGTTCGATCTAGGGAATCAATGCAGTTGGATCTAATAACTCCTCTCTGCTCTAATATAATCTTCTCTTCTGTGTCTATGAGAAAGTATCTGCCCAGCTGGATTAGTGAATTTTAGCAAGAAAAAATAGTATTATGGAGATTAAACATTCTCAAATTGAAGAGTCTTTTCCTGGCAAGCAATGCCACTGTTGGTCTAGTTTAATTCTTACCCATTTTTTTCAAAATCCTCTGCGATCTGATCATATAGAAGTTGTATGTTGTCAAAGTTTGAGCCCCCACAACAGTGATGAAAGTCAAACGACACATATCTAAGACAATGCAAACAGAATCAAGAAATTAGTCTTGAATTTGAGTTGGCAACACCTCAGTTATTCAATGCAGTGCAGTAGGCACAAAATTCCTGAATTATTGATTGGAAAAAAGACTAAATAACTATATAACACAACACTCATTATCGCTAACTGTAGAAACTATTCATACTATTCCAATCCTATCCTCTATTCAGAATGAGCGATGGGACAAGCTTTCAACCAGATGTCTACTGACTTTGAAGATGACTGCCATATCAGAAGTTATTGGCCAACTCTTTAGTTACCACCTTTCTCTCAATCTTCTAACTTCAGACATGTGATGGCAACTATCATAGAATTAAGCGTTGGCCAACTATTAAACTCTCAAGTTCTCTCTCTACCTTCTAACTGCAGTCACTATGGAACCATGAGATGGAAATGATTCTACAGCCTCAGATAGAGAAAGGTTTAAGAGAGTCTGTCACCTCACACTTGACAGCTTTTGGATTTCTGCTGCATAAGCTGCACTTAATAGACCCTCATCACCTTGCTGCAAAAGGGGATAACGAAAATAGTCAACACATTTGTAAATGTGAAAAAGTTATTATCAGAACTAGCTCCTGTAGCAATAAACTAAAATTGATAAGTGGTCTCATAAGAAACAGAATGCTATGAACTATGATTGCTCTGACTATTAAGAAATGAAATAATAGTTACTGTTTTGACAACAAATTTCATCATTCACAATGATTTTGAGATATCTTGGACCGTAACATAATGCTTAAGATTATAGTAATTGGATTAGAAAAGAGAAAAAAAATCTTAGTTTTCCTGATATATTCAAAAAGGTCAATAAACACGGATACATGTATAGTTGAGCACGGAGACACGTATAGTTTAAAACATTCTCCACAGTTGATACTGCAAAATAAACGTCCACATTATAAACATCAAATCAACTCAAAGAACTAAGTATCAGCAGAAAAGCTATATACCTTGTTTGTCAGGTCAACTGCAACGACATGCCCATATCTTTGCAAGAGATCATGAAAATGGCGCTCCACGACTTTTGGCTGAACAACGGAAGGCAATTTCTCATAATTCATACAGAAAAGATTTTAAATAAAAATAATTAGGACAAGTACATACTGTTTCCTCGTGATCGATAATATTAAGCCGTGGTTTATAGCTCAAATCAACAATTTGCTCCCACAGGAGTGGAATTGAACCTCGAATCTGAAATGCAGAAAGAGATGGTTTCTTGATGCTTAGGTCATTGAAATTGTCAAAGTTCCCTCTGTTCTTTGTTAGCGCAAAGTGACATCTCAAACATACACAATTCCTCCAACAATGGAAAGAGGAAACTTAAAGAGAACATGAATATTATCAGATGAGAATATATAGGACTAATGTTCTTTCATGCATTTAAGATATATATATATATATATATATATATGTATAAGAAAGAGAGATAACTGGCTAAAGAGAGAGAGAGAGGGCAGATATATAAGAGACAGAACTGGCTAAAGAGAGAGAGAGAGAGAGGGCAAATATATAAGGGAGAGAACTAGCTAAAGAGAGAGAGAGAGAGAGTGCAGATATATAAGAGACAGAACTGACTAAAGAGAGAGAGAGAGGGGGCAGATATATAAGAGACAGAACTGGCTAAAGAAAGAGAGAGAGCGGGGGGGGGAGTTACACAAAAGAAAACAACTAGTTACTTTAGTCACACTGCTGAACTACCAAAAAGCAGCTATAACTCTCAGTTAGACATGGAAAAAACATCAATAAATCCTTATTTTCCAAATTAAATGTGTGAAAGCCATAGAGATGCAATTTAACTGAAAAATCATGCTTCTAAAAACTTACTTGCAAAAAAGAAGACCTGAAACCTTCAAACTCCAGCAACTGCTCAGTTTCAATAAAATTAGCAGCATCTCCTTCTAGATTAGCCCCTCTTCTCCACAATCGTGTTCCTATATTAAACACAATAATATTAACTTAGAAAACAAATTTGGGTTTGATTCCAAAAATCAATGTCACATGCTTAATGCAATAAGATTAACTTAGAAAACAAATTTGTGCTGGAGGTAAAATCAATGTCACATGGTTTGGAGGATAACAGATTATGTACCCAAGCGCCGTGTGCATCTCCTTGAAATCAATGCTATGGTAGCTGGTGAATCTTTGAGTTTAAGATGTCCAGTCTGGAAGCTTAGGTCCTGGTTAAGGAAAAAGTATTTGTACTTCCGAGAAAAGCACACGTAGTTTGGCATTTATGAATTGCATATCCTTAGGGAGGGAGGAAAGGGCAGAGGGAAAGAGAGGGAGACATGGGAGTAGGGACAAGAACTTCAGGATATTTCCTTGCAACAGAGGAATGACGAATCCATCAAGCTGCACCAACAGAAAAATGAAGGACATATTAGACAAGCTACATACCAGGGTCAAATGCACCTGATTTTTAATAATCTCATTGACAATCAACAGAAATATTTAATTTGTAACATGTAAAGGAACTTATTGTTCAGAAGAAATGTAACTATCAAACTAAGAATATCTTTAACAAACCATATTTTCAACCAGTTCCTCCAACAGATTTTTATTCCAAACAAACCGCGGATCAGCCTGAAATTAAGCCAAAACCAAAATATTCAAGAAGAAACAACTTTACACAAATACGATACACTAATGAAAAACATTATGATGTCAGTGCATAAAGGTGATAGGAACATAGTTGTTGACGGAGATGATGCCAAAAAAATGTATAAACCTATCTGGTATTTATCATCCATCAGGAATAATGTATCAGGAAAGCCTTTGTAGAGAAGCAAAACACCTGGCAGAGTAGTTAATATAATACTTCAACATTTAGTCCCACTCCCACATCTACATCAATTTAAGAGGTGAAACTAATCCAGCATGATATGGCAACTAAATGTGGTAGAGTGGTCAAATATGGGGAACCCAATTCAGCTTTTGGCATAGCTGTAGGCTAGTATCATGTCAGATCACATGCAAAAAGACGTCTTCAGTTGGTATTGTGACCACAATAAGTAACACATCTTCATGAGACAAGGCTTGATCAGAGGATAGAGTATTTTTGGCAAAAGGATTTTGACTGCCATCGCAATCACGGAAGACAACTTGATCTGATAAGGTGGCACTCAACAGACTTTACTCCAACAGAAATTAAATGTGAATCTCTTTGCTTACGAGTAATTGTTTATGGCACAGCCTAAAACTCTTAAAGCTATCACATCCAGAAATTATGCCGAAAACTCTTAAAGCTATCACATCCAGAAATTTAAGAGGCTCATAAGAGTAAGAGATATAACAGGATGAAAATATATGGGCAATGACATTAACATCATCAAGTATATCTTAAGCAGTTCTCGATCACTGACTTCAATCAATATGTGCTAACCAATGGTGACGAAACGGCAGATACAAAAGCCTGATTGCAATATTTATTCTCCCATAGAACTCACTGAGCCTTAACTGTTATCACTCCTTAGTCTCCCAGTGGTTAACAGTAGTAGTAGTAGTTACTTCTTGTTGTCATTTCTTACTAGTAGTTATTTGCAGTTTTTATTCTAGTAGTAGTTATTTCTCTGTAGTAGTTTGCAGTTTCTTAATCCAGTAATGTTAGGAAGTCGTGTCCTAGTTTCTAGGGGTAGTTATCTTATAAGTGTTGTATTTATATTTGTTTGTCTCAGTAATCTAAGCAGAAAATTATTAAGTTTTTGAATACTTCAAACTCAAGAGATTGCACGTTCTCTCTTAACGAACAAGTACCATAGGTCGAAAAAAGAAAAAACCTCTTTCCATATTCCTTATTCACTTTACATAAGCTTTGATTTTACCCTGCAGCATCCCATAACTAGATCCATAACAGGGGACATTGCAGGACAAAATCAGAGTTTATGTAGAGTAAAATAAGGAATCTGTAAAGATGTTTTTTTTTCGACCTATGGTGTTAGTTCGGAAAAATCCGCGGTACTACACAAATTAAATATGAAAAGTAGTCCGGAGAGATGCACGGTGCTACACAAATCAGATATGCAAAAAAAGGTAGTCACCGGAAGGATGGCACGGTGCTACACAAATTATATATGAAAAAGGAGTCACTGGAATGATGGCACAGTGCTACACAAACTAGATATGAAAAAGTAGTCACCAGAATGATGGCACGGTGCTGCACAAATTAAATATGAAAAAGCAGTCACCGGAATAATGGCACGGTGCTACACAAATTAGATATAAGAAAGTAGTCACTAGAATGATGCATGGTGACCCAACTTTTGCTAACATAATCATTGGCCAGACGGGTAACATATATGGGTGCCACCCGCCGGCAGCGGAAGCTCTTTAATTCTCTACCAAGTTCGTAGAGGCTCTGATACCATGTGAGAAATATAGGAAAAGAATATTATTGAATTGTTGTTGTGTCTACATTATTACATTGAGACCCTATTTATAGACCCTAGAATACAATCCTTTACCAAGTAGGATACTATTTAGTATTCCTATTTCTATTTCTATTCCTATTCCTATTCTAATAGAATTGTATAAACCTATTTCTATTCTTATAGGATTGTATAAACCTATTCCTATTCTTATAGGATTGTATAAACCTATTCCTATTCTAATAGGATTGTATAAACATATTCATATTCTAACAAATACAACACTTAAATAATAACTACCTCTAGAAACTAGGACATGACTTCCTAACATTACTAGAATAAGAAACTGCAAACTACTACAGAGAAATAATTAGTACTAGAATGAAAACTGCAAATAACAACTAGAGAGAAATAACTACAGCGAGTAACTACTACTACTACTGTTAACACTGGGAGACTAAGGAGTGATAACAGTAACCTTCAGCAACCTCCAAATATCAACCAAAACCAATTGGGATTAGATAAGAAAGCTACAGTGAATCACAGTAGCCTTTTTTCTTAAAACAACCTCCAACCAAAATTGAATTTAATGGTTTGTATTTCATACACACACAGATGAAGGGAAAAAGGATTCCCAAGTGCTTCATAAAATATTTTTGATACAGTAAAAGATATCAGGTGAGGTGTACATGCAAGCGGTGTCAGTTGTCGAATAGGTCACTAAGGTCTACTTTCCTTCTTTCTCCTTTCTATCTTCCATGGGTTTAATACTCAATTTAATGCACTAAGCAAGTTATCCTATCAGTGTGAATCTTTCATAAGTAGGTCCAGAAAACTTGCAGCCGCCAGAATATGTCTTCACATGCCAGTTGGAAGCAATAATATATAACATTCTACAAACATAATGTTATGAATAGTTCAAAAATAGTTAGTAGACAAACCTGTTTCCAAACTGGTTTACTCATCCACCCTTTTGCCCAAGTGCATCTTCTCTGCAAGCTGATAAACATATTAGATTTCTTGAAACTAAAAGAATTGGCAATGTGCAAAGTCAAGAAAATGACTGAACAAAAAATAGGTGTAATAGCACAGCTTGAACATACTTCACTGTTATATCTGTTTCATAGGAATAATACAAGCCTGGAGTTGATTCCACTATTGTCAACAAATTCATGAAGTAAGTTTCATCTCTTTTCTGCCAGCACAAGAAAAATAAAAGAGAAAAGGGCAAAGAGCTTCATCTCTTTTGTTCCAGCTCAAGAAAAGTAAAAGAGAAGGGAAAAGCGTAAAATACAAACGTTATTCAAATGAAAGTATATTAAGTTTGGCTATTATGATACGAGAACCATACTTCTTGACGTGTAAGATGCCTTGATGCCTCGTTGCAGGAAAGAAACTTCATGGACATCACACGGAAAATAGGAAAACCAAGATAGTTCCCCACTTCTTTCCGGGATGTTATTAATAATATATGTGATCCTACAAAAGAAGAAATTAACAGAATGTAATAAATCTTGACAGCAATTGAGTTAAATTATGATAATATCCGTTTTCTATTCCTAATCATTCCCACAATTGAAAACCTAAGTCTAATTAAGTTGACATTTAAGGAAGACCTAAACAGCTAGATTAACAACCTTACTTTTATGGATGCAGTTATAAATATGGATTTGATGAAAAGATTTACAGATGTCAATTCCTCACATTGTTGTAAACGCTTGTGCATGCTTAACCAAACATATGGTAAATGGTTTGACAGCAAAGGGAAGTAATAAAGTCTCAGATATATAGGTCAGGCAAAACAACAGACAATCAAAGAAATTAAAGCCCAAAAAGCAGTAGCAAGGCAAAAGTTTCATATCAACGCAGACATGAAATGATAGGGAAAAATAAAGGAGAAATGGAACCTAGGAAATGAAAACTAGTATAAGCACGAAACATGGAATCCTTTAAGAGGTGTGAATTGGCTTAATCTTTCACAATAAGTTGTTTCACCAACTATATACACTTGATAGAGTAACTATATATTTATGACCATGATTGTGAATATTTTATACTTCAATGTGCAATTGTTTTGGAGAAGATAATTTTACACAAAAGAAAGCAGCTAAGGACTTTTAGTACTTCCATTTTGTATCTATATGTGCCATGAATCCAAATAGACTTATCAGAAAAATCAAACTTAATTTATAAAGGAAACACAAGTGATGCTATTAGATACTATATGTAGATTACGTTCATTTTGTATCTATATGTGCCATGAATCCAAATAGACTTATCAGAAAAATCAAACTTAATTTGTAAGGGAAACACAAGTGATGCTATGAGATACTATGTGTAGATTTTCATAGGTTGCTCCATCAGAAGTAGGGGTGGCAAAACCCACCCAACCCGTTTAAGTTTGGGCGGGTTATTGACCTGCCCATTTATTAGTTCAACCCATTAAAATTGGGTTGATATGTAACCCAAACTGACTTGAGAGAAATCTTGTCAAAATATTTTAAATTTTTTAAAAAATAATTGATATGTTATATATAGCCATAATAAAAATAATAATAATTTTATTAAGTACTAAAATATTGTAAAAGAACAAATAAAACAACTAAAATTTAGTAAAATTGGGTTGGGTTGGGTCTTGACCCATTCTATAACCCATTACCCAACCCATTTTGACCCAACCCGTTTTGATCCAAGCAAATATGGGTTGGGTTAGGTCTTGCCCCATTATGACCCGCCCAAATTTAACCCAACCCGCCCAATTGTCACCCTAATCAGAAGAAGATGGGTTATGCAAAGTATTAAGGATATTTAGATGCTGACATGCATTTAGAACTGTTTGCTAAAGCAAAATCAATATTCAAACCATCTACAAGTTTACACTATCATCGCATCCATCAGCTACTTTCAACTTGTTAAGTTGTCCCAAATTGGCTGAGGAATCGACTATTTGTCTCCTTAAATAGTTTTGAACAATCCCCATCTCATGAGCTAGATTTTGGGGTTGAGTTAAGTCTCATGTCCATTTTTAAATATGGTATCAGAGTCCGACCCATTCTTGATATTCTATGTACTAATGTTGGGCCCTCATGTAGTGTTGTCCATACTCCAATAGGCAGGTCTTTGCTTTACTTGAGTCAAGGGTCAAGCAGGTACAGTATCTTTGTCTTTACAAGGTAAAGGGAAGGTTACGTACACATCATCCTCCCCAGACCCACTCGTGGGACACAATGTGTATGTTAATTGTTGTTAAGTTGTTCCTCCTTGACTGAAGGATGCATTGCTTGTCTCCTTGTATGGTCTTTGGACAATCTTCACATGAGTTAACTTTTGAAGTTGAGTTAGGCCAAAAATGCATTTCTTAACACAACTTATTCATCATCAGAATTGCACTGGTTTAACCACGCTGATGATGTAACTAAAATCACTAACAAAAAGAATGGCAAAGTTTGGACTACAAAGGTCAACACATAATTTCAGACTGAATGTTGTGATTTTTACCTTGCTTAAAGCCTGTTTGGATGCACTTATAGCTTATGGCTTATAACCAAAAGTCATAAGTTAGGAATCCTAACTTATGACTTTTAACCTATTTTTGGCATAAAAACAAGTGTCTAAAAGCACTTTCTAATCTTAACCAAACAATACAAAAGTGCTAAAAACTATTTTGACTTAAAACAAGTCGATCCAAACATGCTCTAAGAAATTACAAAAACGTACTAAAAATCACATCTTTTTAAGTTGAAAAGTATTTGTTAAGAATCGTAGTCAAAGAAAATAATGTTCAACTCTCCAAGTAATAAAGCCATACATTTGAGTAAGTACCTGTCAAAAACCTAACTGTTCAAGTGGAGAAGGGTAGAGGGGCGGGCCCATTATCCACCGAGTTTAGAAGGCTGTGATTGGTCCAAAAGGCCGGGTCACAGACGGATTTCTCGGTTATCAAAAAAAAGAAAAAAACCTAACTGTTCAATGGTTAAGCGTATAAGCTATTGACTACAAAGTGTTTGACAACAAAAGAGTACTATGATTTCGGAATATAGGTCAAACAAGAAACAGCCAATAAAAGAACTAAATCCCAAAAAGAGGCAGAAATAACAACAGGGAGAAGTTTCATATAAATGCAGACATAACACATTTAAGAGGAAAATAAAGGAAACTAAAACCTAGGAGATAAACCTGAAGTAGAATAAGCATGAAATGCTAAATCCTTTGCAAATTGTGAGTTGGCTTCATCTTGCACTATGAGGTTTTACCAACTTTAGCACTTATTGTTAGTTTGATATGTTATACCATTTATGAATACTTTAACCTTAGTTTAATCAAAATACACTATTCTTTTGTGAGGATAAATTTTAAACGAACAGAAAATAGCGAAGGACTTTTGTGTTCATCTACTTTATTTTTATAGGAAGTATTAATCAGTATCTGCCTGATGAATGTAAATAGATGAATTAGCAAAAGAAAATTAATTTAGAAAAGGGAATGCTATTAATTGTTGATGTTATATGATACCATGTGAGGATTTTTGCTACTGCACTAGAAGGACAAATAAAATTGGGTTATTTGAAGTTCTTAGGGATAGTTAACTGCTGATATGTAAAGTAGCAAATCTCATTAGCCCAAGCACATTAATTTTCACCTGCATTGAAGTATCTATTGAACTCTTCCTAAGTGAGTTTAGCAAAGATATTTGGTACCAAGTCCAGATAAAGGAAGAGAGATATAGTGGGTTCATATAACCGATCCTAACCATTTGGAATTGAGATCTAGTTGATTGAAAGTAAAATATCTACTGCCTTATTTACCCTTAAAAGGTACAGTTGAATCTGTAAGTGTGGTTCAAAGGCACGTGGATTAAATTGACCTGATAATGAAAATATAATGAATTCCGACAATCGAATGCTAAACAATTAATAAATCAATAATAAATGTAACAAAGTATGAAATGCTGAAAATGGGTCCTGTGTCGTCGCCCTGAAAGAGAGTTCAGTAGTGAGTACGTGATGGTTACAACAATGATAAAGAGGACTATTTATACCTAAACCCTAGGGTTAATTGTTTCTTTAAATCTCACCCTCATTTGAACTCCTGATTGTGTATTTATCTCCAACACACGACGTCCAGCGGGGATCTCGGCATCCCGCATAACGGCTGACTTGCTTAAAAGATCTTGGTCCTGACAGTTTCTTGTACCCGGTATCATGTCTCCGAAGCTAGACAGACTTACACCGGCCTTGGATGTTCTTATACCGAACCCATATATATACTAATTCAAGTCCGATCTACCACGTTTCGATCCCTGATATATCCCAGGTTTTACCCTATACATGCTACTAGCTATTTTACACTCCATCAAATTTGAAAGTAAAAGAAAGATTGAATATTTGCAACTCTAAAACTGTTTATTAAAGCAAAACTCCAAAAATTCACACCATCCACAATTTACAAGCCAAGCCATTTCTATCAAGTATCAACTACCTTCAACTCAAAACCAAATAAAAACTAAAAACTCACTCATAGCATTCAAATTACTGGAATTCCATTGATTCACTAACAAGCAAGTATAGGATAAAGATTCATTTCAGTTTATTACCTGCCAACAACCTAATTGTTCCAGCAACTCCATAAATAGTAGATACTTTTGAAGGTTTTCCAAAGCTCATATCACCTGAATAAAAACGCATGAGCAAAAGAGCACTCTTAGATTCACACCTCAAATGTCTTACATAGGTCAAATTAAATCATCTAATTCTGGAAACAAACAAAGTTTTTAAACATTTAGAAACTAAACAAAAACAGAATTTTTTTAAATTAAACTGCAATTCACCATTGAGTTTCTCGATGTTCCCATCGTAGCGGCTAACGGAGAAGCCTTCAGTGGATGATTCCGGTGATCGGAAAACGAATTTGTCGGCGAACTCCTGTAATTCCAATTGGCTATATAGCTTGAAATGGTCAATTGAATTTGGTTCAATTTCCATTTGTTGTAAATTTTGGAAAATGGCTTTTTGGGATAAATTGATGAGTCTAAATGAAAGAGGGTTATGAAAACCCTATAAATGATTTGTTCAATGATTGATCTCAAGACTGGATTGTCTGGAATCTACGTGGAAATGGTTAAATAAGACATATCAATTAGTACTTTATATATTCAGTCAAATAAAATATAAATTTAATCTCAAATATTTGTCTCTTCCTCTTTTAATTTTAAATATGACTTCAAAACTGAAAGTTCAATTCATGAATACAATTGAAAATCATTCCTTCATAGAAATTAATTTTTATTAGTTTGTGTGAATACATCAAAATATTCAATTTAAGTTAAATTTAAGACTACTTTTCACCAAATTTTATTTTTTGAGATAAACTATGAGAAATTATGTTGTTTTGCATTATTTCCAAAATAGGAAAACATATTAGATATGTTATATACGTATTAGATATGTTATATAGTCAGACATCTAATCTATAAGAACATTCTTATATAACAATATCTTACTAGGTTTTTCTTGAAATCAATTTTTTATGTTATATTTTACCTCTTTATAATAATTTTTAACCTATAACAACAACTAAACCATCTTTGTAACAATATTCATTTTTTGTTAAATTACCCATCTATCACAACAATCTTCTTTTCTGGTAATATAATAATTAATCATTTTGTAGGAATGAGATTCTAAGATTACGAATAATAGGTTTTCAAAATTTTGACCAATTATTTTGCGTGTGAAATATGTACTGCCTAGAGTTTAATTTTTTTTATACATTTAGTTATGAATTTATTAAAATTTTATTAACTTTTTCTTTAATTTCCAGTAAGTGAAGTATGCATATCTTTGAGATTTAAAATTAAATAATTTTGTTACTCGTTTTAACATTAAAAAAGAGAATTTATGCATGTTTTCTTGCCCATAACACTGAAATAATATTTAAATGTACAATTGTTATTATAGATATATAATAATAAATTTTAAAAAATTCAAATCAACAATGTTGCTATCGAGAGATTTAATTTTATATGCTAGTTAGCTGGTAAAGTAACCCTTTTAGAGTTTAGAAAACATTAATTTCTATAAGTAAACAATTAATTCCATTCAAAGAATTTTTTTAAAAACAACATAGATAAAGCAATGATCCCTAAGTGGGCAAGCAGTAACATAAAACTAAGCACATTTAAGGCGTGTATTAAATATAATCTACAAATATCTATAAGTAGCAAAGAAAAGAAAATCAAATTAGAATAGGATAACAGGAATTATTATCCGATTAAACAATTATTAAGATAATACAATTTTAACAACATATTAACTAATGGCAATGATATCAACCTGCGTTGTGGTGCAATGGTGGTGGAAATGTTTCACCCTTAATCAAAATTTTCAAATTTGATCCTTGGGTACGAAGAAAATCATGTTGAGAGCGTCACCCTCGAATGGACACTGCAGTGCGCGATCCGAATTTAATCAGAGTTCCAATATGGGCTCAGGACACCGGATTAAGAAAATAAAACTAATGACAGTGACAATTATTAGTAATAAAATAAATAAAAATCAATGACATCGTAAAACTCTTAATTTAGATGATAATAATTTATTTCTAAAATAGAAATTTGATTATGGTCCCTTGTCCTCTATCTATTACTGTCAAAGACTCAGAATTGTCTGTATCAACTACTATAAACCACCAAAATGGGCGTAATAAATAAATAAAATAAAAAAGAAAATACCAAAATGCAAAAATTATAAGTTTTACCCTTCCGTCTTAAAATAAGTATCATCTTAGTAAAAAAAAATATTCCAAAATAAGTGTCAGCATAGAAATTTTTGACAAAAAAAGAGTATATTTTCCCCCAATACATTCATACTCCATCTTTTTAATACTATTCAAATTTTCAAAAGACTCTATTGTTAAAGCATAGTACATTTTAATATCAAAATAATAATAATAATTTGCATGAATTAGTGGTGAAAGTGAACATTATTTCTTGATGTAATTTATGTTATAATAACGGTATGTATTCACCAACAATTTATTAAATAAGCGTCTGTTCAGTAAATTATATATTTTATTTATTAATTTTTTAATGAACGTGATTTTTGTTAGGATGACACTTATTTTGAGACGGAGGGAGTAAACGATTTAGACCAACTAAGATGTGGTGGCATCATTGCTTTGGTTATAGTGTCCATTTCAGAGACAAAGAGTGTTGGGTTCTAGTAATATTCAATAATAATTGCAGTTTAATTAGTAGAAGTCTATTTGATTATCATGGCTAATCAGACCAAAATAAAGAGAATGGTTAGTGTACACAAAAAGAAAAGGTCACCTTATTATGAAGTTTTATCTTTAGCAAAACACAAGCCAATCAGGTATAGTTATTATTAATTAGAGGCGTCAAACGGACAGATTGAGTTAAATTTGAGCGAGTCAATATAAGTTGAGCTGATAAATAAGCGAGTCACTAACCTATCTAAACGGATTGAACAAATTATATTTTTATAAGCTAGTTTTGTTGCCTCTAAATATAATGTCCTAAAGAAGTAAAGATGGAAATCAATACTACCTAGCAGTCAACAGTGGAAGTCATGAACGTATGATTAAACTCAAAAAATAACTGTGAATAAGTTGAAAAGTTTAAGGATATTGAGGCATACTCCTTGAATATGTAACTTCATATATATATATATATACTACTTACTATACTTTGATATCATTTATAAGTATTTTTTAGGACACTTGATAGCTTTTACGTGGTCGATGCATAGAAATTAAATTCTGAATACATAGGTCATTGATATCTACTTAGTAATTTTGGTCCAAACTCTCTATTTATATAAAAAAATAATTTAAAACACCATTTCAATATCTATAAATAATTTATTTAGAACCAAGTAAACTACATTTTATAGAATATAAATTCCAGTACATTGCATTTTCTAGAATATAAAACTCATAAACTCAATATTCTAATTCTAGCTTTGCCCATACCTTTGATTTATTTGATTAATAATAATATGTTGAACCTTATTTTGGTACAATTAATAAGTTGAACTTGCTGTATAAGAAAGATACCTTATGATCTGTTAGTGACTGCAAATCCAAGTCATGACATATGGACATAGAATTGTTGACACCCAATGTTGACCCTCCTCGATAGTAATTAATTCCCGAGCTTCTTAAAATTCTAAACAATTTGAAATAATTGGCTTTATAAAATTCGAAATAATTTTCAAGTCATTTTAAGTAGTTTTGTCATTTTTATAAATTTTAAAATAATAAACATGATATTTTATATAATTATGTGTCTAATTAGTATATTTTACGAATGTTCAAAAATTGTCTCAAAAGGATTTTAGTTTTATTTAAATATTAGGCTATTTGGTTTAAATTAATTAATAACTTATATTTCGAGTTAACTAGTTTATAATTAAGTTAATTTATATAATTATGTGTCTAATTAGTATATTCTATAAATATTTGAAAATCATATCAAAAGATTTTTATTTCTTTTAGCTAAGTGTTTTACTAACTTAGTTTAATTTAAATCATAATTACGATTTTGAATTGATTAGTTCATGTTTAAATTAATTATATTATTATCAAATTAATTACTTTATTTCGTTAAGATTGAGAAGCTCCTAAATTAATTATATTAATTCATCTTATTTGAAATATAGCCAAGTTCACTACATAACATTCAATTTTGGGCTAATTTTGTAATACACTTGGCTATGTTTATTACAAACATACCCATTTTCTAACCTCAATTTAAACCCATCCAAAGACCAAATTTGGGCCTTTTTACTTGTCTGTCAGCAGCCCACACGACCCACTCCTACATTCCCATTCCAATTCCCAGCCCAAATTCAATTCTAAAGAAACCCATTCCAATATAATTCCAATTAACCCATATGTAAAGCAGCCCAAAACAGACCCGACCCCGTATGCATTTTCTCTCCTTCACGCGGCGTGAACAACAACGTTCACAAACGTTTGCCAGCAATGTTCACAAATCAGAAGCGATGCAGTACACTGCTCATTTTGTCGTCTTCCTCATTTTCCCTCTGCAGCAGCGCGATTCAGAGCAGCAGGGCGACGTGCTTTCGTCCTTGTGGCCTCGAGATAGAGCCACGTTGCTCGCCAAGGACATGGGAATCGATCCCAACCGTCCTTCTACCCTTTCCTCTTCCGGAAATGGCCAAATTTCGGAAAAGGGGTGTCTCCCCTTAATGGTGAAAGGATTCTTGAGTTTGAATTGGGAGTGGGTCCATTCCTATCCGAATTTTATCCGTTTGCCCCCCAAAAAATTGGAACCCTAATTGCTCCCTATATAAATGTATTTTCTGTTCATTTGCAGGGGGGGTCATTTTTTTTAGTTGGACATTTAGCATTAGAGAAAATAGTTTTAGAGGAAAATATTAAAAAGGTTGGAAAAAAAAAATATAAAAAATCAGCAAGAGTTCATAGAAGAAGCAATTTGGAAGGCACAAAATCATATAAGAAATACTCCCTCATATTTCCTTCCTTTTCCGTGTGCACTGGTAGCCGGAGTTCTCAAAGAATTCTTGAAACCTTTGTGTGGTGGTAGAAGCTTCCTCGTGGTCAGCTCGTTTCCATCCTAGTTCGTTGCCTCGGAAAAGGTATACGACTTCGTTCTCCCTACGGTCATTCTCTTGATTCGAGTCTATTTATTTGTTTACTTAGTCATGTTGTTATGATGGTTCATTAAGGATAAGATTCCCTCGTATTATTGAAGCTTTGGTCATTTGCTTGTTGAGTATGATTCAAGTATGAATGTGTGGGCAATGAATGCATGTCGAAGTTGTTTTCTAGCCTAAATTTCTACTGCTCTTGTTCCTTTTCGGGTTTGCATAGTTGCATTTGGTCTTCGGATTGTTCTACTCGCCTTCGTTTATTTTTGCTCAACAAGAATCTGTAATAATGTTTAGCGTACGACGTCATATCCCTCATTCTTTCACCTTAATTTGAATGAATGAACTAAGATGTCAATATTTCGAGTCCGTGTGTGGTATCTGTTGCTGCTACCCTGAGTTCTTATATTGTAATGCTTACTGCTCACTTTGTTTCTTGACTTAGTAGGCTTGTTGGGTCGATTTCGAAGTGTAAAGCTCTATTTTCCTCCTCTAGATTACATACGCTCCGTTGTTAGTTTTGCTTTACAAGTTCGCCTTCCTTTGTTCACCCTTTTCGTCTCTTAAATGTTGTAATTTGAAGGTTTGTGTGTCTTTTCTTGCTGCTGTCCGACATTGAGTTTTTTTCTTCATCCTATAGTATCATGTATGGTCTAGCACTAATATGCATTTTATTTTCTTTTTTTCGGTTTTGACTTCTCATCTGTTAAAGGTTTTCTTGTTGTGTTGATGTTAGTTTGGATTTTTTTTTTCTATCTCTATCGATCCAGATTTCCCCTCGTGTCAAAATGAATGTTGTCATATACACATTTTTCCTTAGTTGTAAATTAATACATTATTGAAACATGCTAGAGTTATGCATTTTTCCTTAGTTGTAAATTAATATATGCATTTTTTCCTTAGTTGTAAATTAATATATGCATTTTTCCTTAGTTATAAATTAATACGTTATTGAAACATGCTAGAGTTATGCATTTATCCTTAGTTGTAAATTAATATATGCATTTTTTCCTTAGTTGTAAATTAATATATGCATTTTTCCTTAATTATAAATTAATGCGTTATTGAAACATGCTAGAGTTATGCATTTTCCTTAGTTGTAAATTAATATATGCATTTTTCCTTAGTTGTAAATTAATATATCCATTTTTTCCTTAGTTGTAAATTAATATATGCATTTTTCCTTAGTTATAAATTAATACGTTATTGAAACATGCTAGAGTTATGCATTTTTCCTTAGTTGTAAATTAATACATGCATTTTTCCTTAGTGGTAAATTAATACGTTATTGAAACATGCTAAAGTTATGCCTTTCTCTGTTTATTTCTCTTTATATGAGGACAAATTTATGTATCACTCGACTGATTTAATCGAAGGAGTGCTCTAAATGAGTTTTACTTTCTGTATTCTTTTCATTTTTTTTTAATTTTTTTTAATTTTTTTGTATGTGATTATGATTTAGCCATTAAATTGATATAGTTTATTGATACTTTCACCGTGCCTTTTTCAGACAACGTGGGTCTCTTTTAAGTCGGGATTGTCTTCTTTATTTAAATGGCTTAATTATTTGCAAAAAGTGTGTTGCGTTTTTCTTGGCTCGAATGTTAAATTAATTTTTGCTAGTTTTGAATGCAGCCTCTATTGGCTTATGGTGGTCTGTTCTAAAGTGTTAAATTTCCTTTTTTTTTTTTTTTTTCTCCCGTTAGATGACATGTGATCTAATTCCTTTTCTTTGTTTGGGTACAACCTGCCGGTTGAGTCTCTTGGACTCTTACTTCTACTAGTTGCATTTCAAGTTGGGCTGTGAAGGCCCAAGATTCTTTCTTTCCAAAGTCCGTCCTTCTCAAATATATTGGCAAGGATAAGGCACCAGCGAACATGTTTTGAAGTTGGATGGATGTGAGAGCAGAGGAGAATTGGAAAGATTGGGCCAAAGACCCACTCTTTATACAAAAGAATTGTATTTTTGGGCATAAGCCTATTTAGTCATTGTGTTTATTATTTTGTTAGAATTTAGGACAGGTGAAAAATTGGGCCTAAGGCCCAAAGAAATGTCTTATATATTAGACTGAGACAGGTGTAGATGACTCAAATGGGCCAAAGGCCCAAAACGAAAATGGGCCCAAATATTGGTCCAGACGGACATAAACCGAATTTGGGCCTAACTCTCTTTCTCTCTTTACTTTATTGTGCTCATTTTACTCGCTAGTATTTGTCGTTAATCTTAAGGTCAAAAAATTCAAATCCCCGAAAGACGCTTATTTCGTTTTAATAACTTTACCAAATCAATCACCTTTAAAAAGGACTTCAAGAATTTTTGCAAGGAAAATACCTCACTTAGATGTTAGTATTTCAACATTTTTCTTTTTCCCCTCTGAAATAGTTTTGACTACAAAAAAGTTCAAATTTGCAAGATGAGTTAAGTTAAATTATTTTAGCCAAATGATCGATTGTCGGATAACCACATTAGTGGACATTCTAGGTGCTTTTAAAACCTTCCTAGAATGTTAATAAGAACCTCGAACCCTTTTCAAGTTTTCAATAGATTTACTGTTTTAGTCTTTTGAAAAATAATAGTTTTCTTGATTTTTCTTAAAAAATTAAGTGGCGAATCTAAATCAGTCTAAAATATATTTTCCAAATAAAACAAGAATGATGAAATGTCTCTGCAGAAAACCTTTCCCACCTACTGATTACTCTTGTTGGTCCCGTCCGAAGGTTATCGGAAATAGTCTCTCTATCCTCACAACGTAGGAATAAGATTAAGTACACATCACCCTTGACCCCACTTATGGGATTATACCGGTTATGATGTTGTTGTGGTCCTGTCCCAACTTGGCTAAATCAATAATTTGCACCAAACATGCATGACTTTCACTTCACTCATACTATGACCTAAACAAAAAAAATCCTCCAAAAGGTTCTCTTATTGTCTCATTGTTCTGTTACTTTTAAGCCTTCCAATCAGTTTACCTTGCTTCATCTTGCAGTTAAGCTTCTCCATATTGAATTAATTCATACTCAAAATGGGATGGACAAAATCTACCAGAAGAAAACTCTCTTTGCTCATAATCACAGCCATCGTCTTAACCTTCTTAGCCTTCATTTTTCTCTTGTATACCGAAAGGATCACAACTATTTCGAGGTTTAAGCTCAATTGTCCCAAAAGAAATTCTGCAGGTGTACCATCTAGTTGATTAATTTCGATCCCAATTGCTGTAATTCTATTGTTTTTTTTGTCATTGTGAACTTTTTTTGGTTTCTTGTCTTAATAGATGATAGAGCATTGGAGAGCGATTCAATAGACAATCCAGGAGACGATATTCTTGATTTTGATCCTGATGAATGCAGTGTCAATCATGGGAAATGGATCTTTAATTCTTCGATTAAGCCATTGTACACAGACAGGACTTGTCCTTATATTGATAAACAATATTCTTGTATTAAGAATGGTCGAAATGATTCATATTATCTTCACTGGGAATGGAAGCCTGATGACTGCATGTTACCAAGGTTAGCAAGTTACTCAAATTTCAATTCTCTGTTTCTTCGTAAAATTAGTCCTATGTTGCTCAAACTTTTCAAAAAAACGCCACTAGATGTATGTTAGATCCTTCAAAAGTAGATGGAAGTTCACACAACACATTGCAAAATGACATCTTGACAATTAATTCAGGTTTGATCCCGAAGTTGCCCTGAGAAAGCTTAAAGGGAAAAGACTAATGTTTGTAGGGGATTCACTACAGAGAAATCAATGGATATCTTTTATTTGTTTGGTTGACTCTGTAATCCCAAAAGACAAGAAATCCATGAAACGAGGCCTCGTTCATTCTGTATTCAAAGCTAAGGTAATTCACCATAAAAATCTTATCTTGTTCAAGAATTTGCTTAAACAAACACGGGATTGAAGTTCGAAAAAAATGTGATGTAACAGGAATATGATGCCACCATTGAGTTCTATTGGGCACCATTCTTAGTGGAATCTAACACCGATATTCCTATTAAAAGTGATCCAAAGCAGAGAATTATCAAAGTGGACTCAATTTCTCAGCGTGCCAAAAATTGGTTAGGAGCAGACATTCTTGTTTTCAATACTTATGTTTGGTGGATGAGTGGACTCAAGACCAAAGCACTGTAAGTTCTTTAATCTCGTGGAAATTAGAATTAAGGAGCTGTCAGAACATTCTTTTCAAAACGGACTAAAAAAGTAAAGTAAGACAAATAAATTGAAACAGAGAGACTATATACATAAGAAAAAAGTTGACTGATATGCACATTATAATTTTAAACTCATTAAAAAAATGCAGATGGGGTGAATTCGAAAACGGAGAAGAAGGTTATGAAGAATTAGAAACAGCAGTTTCCTACAGAGTAGCATTAAGGACATGGGCAAATTGGATTGATTCAACAATTGATCCAAGCAAAACAAAAGTTTTTTTCACTACAATGTCCCCTTCACACCAAAAGTAAGTCGTCACGACAAACAAGCACATCAATTTCTTATTAAAATCGCGTTAAATTCTGTAGAAATTAAACTCACACAACCTTTTGCTATCAGAAATAAAGAATGGGGGAACGTAAACGGGATCAGGTGCTTCAACGAGACGAGACCAGTAACGAAAAAGGGTCACTGGGGAACTGGTTCAAATAAAGAGATGATGAATGTTGTTGCTAGTGTCATGAGGAGAATGAAAGTTCCTGTTACAGTATTAAATGTAACGCAACTATCTGAATACAGAATCGATGCACATACGTCGATTTATGGTGAATTGCAAGGCAAATTGTTAACAAATGAGCAAAGAGCAGATCCATTGCATTTTGCAGATTGTATACATTGGTGTTTGCCTGGAGTTCCTGATACTTGGAATCAGTTGCTTTTTGCATATTTGTAGCACAAAAAAGTGTAATGCTAAAAAGTCTAAATAGAGTGAAAGAAATTCTTTGGTAAATTCTTGTAACCACACTGAACGCAAAGAAATGTTTGGTTGGTCAAACTGATTTGAAAAATAATGTAATTATTTTTTAAACAATGACTTCCCGGGTTGTTTATAGGTCGGTTTGATCCAGTTTATGTATTACTAGTTTGGTTTATGATTTTTGGTTTGTAAACGGGATAAAATGATAACCAAATCAATAAGATATTCGTCATCCATTTTCAGCTGATTGCATTTTGGTTCTTAATGGTAAGTTTTTAATTTAACCGATAAGAATATGTTCCGCTATTTTATTTTATTTTTGCTTTTTTCTTGTTTTCATTTGTTCATATATATATATACACGCTTTTGTGCATAAAAATCTTACATAAATTACAAGAAGGGAAAAAAATTCTAATAACCTATTGCTAAAACAAATTTGTTTTCTTTGTGGTTAAGTAGCAAACTTGGATATAGTAGCACTAATTCAACAACTATAAAATGCAAAGAATGGAAAAACGATAAGGCATGCCACCTCATTAATCTCTTTATAGCATTGTTGAATTTTATTGTGAAGATTAGCGAGAAGATCTCCTATCATTTTTATTTCTCTTTATGTGAATCGTTCTAGCTAAAAAAATAAAATCCGTATAGGTAGTTTTTCTTTAACTTTTATAATGCTAGATTTAGGGTAAAATATAATCTATTTTGAAATTATTCTTTCCAAAACATCTTTATGAATTTTGAATAAGATAAAAGAAAACTTGAAAGGAAGAATGAAATATTCCTTCTTCAATAGAATATGTTTTTGATAAAGATTAGAGTGAAATTTACTATGTGACAACATGCGATTTGATTCAATTTAGATCGATTTTTATTTAAACTGTGACCACCTTTAGTAACAATAGTTCAATGTAATAATTCACTATTTATTAGTATATCAAATTCGCTTGTATTGATTCGTTATACATATACATCATAGAAAACAAATGCAACACATACAAAATGAATTGACTCATTAATACAGAACAAACCGATATAGTTACAAGCAAACAAATACAAAGTAACATATAACACATTTTTTTTTAAAAAAAAAGACACTAAAACTTTGTAGAGTTGAAGTAGGTACTCTCTTTATTTTTGATAAATACATAACACGTGTTTATCCGATTAGGTAATTTTTCTTCGAAAAAAGAAGGGGAAATTTTCACAAATAACCACTATAATAAATTTAATTACTATATTTCATAGTTATAATTTGCATATTTACGGGTTGTACCTACAGTTTAAGCCGTCTCGTTTATATAATTCGCGGGTGAGTTTGTATAAATCAGTTGGTACATTTGTATAATTGAATTATTTTTGTATAAACTCGAAATAACTAATTTATACAAACACAAACATTTGAACATTAAACAGTTATACAAATTATATTATACAAAAGTTATACAAATTTCAAATTATACAAACTCAAAATAACAAATTTATACAAACACAAACATCTGAACATTAAACAGTTATACAAATTATATTATACAAAAGTTATACAAATTTTGAATTATACAAACTCAAAATAACGAATTTATACAAACACAAACATCTGAACATTAAATAGTTATACAAATTATATTATATAAAAGTTATACAAATTTTGAATTATACAAACTCGAAATCCTAGCCCACGTAATTATTACTGAATATTAATCGCGAGTGGTAATTAACTAAAATTATAGCTATGATGACTAATTTTAACTTAATACAAAAAAGTGATTTCGAAATGCTTACGAATCCAAGCCCATCTGTGAAAGCCCAACAATCTCTTCTCGTATTTTCGAAGTTAGAGTTCAAATTTCTGGAAGCTTCGGGAACCTAATATAGCTGATTCCTTGTTCCCCAAGTTCCCAAAATCAGAACAAAAACAAAATTTCGACATATTTCTATAGAAAAGAATGTTGTAGGAATCAGCTATGGCGGGAGGAGGAAACTTTCTTCAGAGGGTCATTTCTTACGTAGCCAACGAGTTGATCGTCAATGGACTCGCCAACAAGTAATATATTGTTCTTTGCTTTTGGTTTATTTTCTTTTCTATTTATATTTCAGTATTTTCTGTAAAGGGCAAATGTGTATTCGAATATATTCATACAATCGATTGAAACATGTTAAACCTGTTTGCTAAACATACTCTGTTATTGTCTTCAGTTAACAATTTATAATCTAGCTCGCTCTTTTCAAGTTTGAAGTTATCACAAAATGATCGAGTAAGGTAGGGATGACGATGAGGCGGGGGCAGGGTAGTTAACAGTGTTTGCGGGTTGAGTTTAGGCCATAAATTAGCCCAACATAAAGTTTAGGGGTGTACGGAGTAAAACTCGTTAAGTTGATCAGTAATGAGGGTACATAAATTCAATCATTAATTTTTGAATTGAGAGAGTTCACCAATGTGTTTGGATTGTCCTATCAAGTGTGGGGGTTGTTGTTGTTGTTGGAGTATCCTATATCAAGTTTGGGGTTGTGGTTTTAGTATATTTCATCTTAAGCTTGCCAAAGATGGCTCTATAGGCTTGTAGGTTGTAATGATTGTGAAGATGATGGAAATTTAGCATTATCATACAGCCATACACAATCTCTATTTTATCTTCTTTTTTATTGAGAAAGTTTTTAGTATCTGTTGCACTTTTGTGTTGTGCTGGCTTGAGGGAATGATTTTCTTCCCTTCAAAGTGAGTTGTGTGTTCCTTTATGTTTTATTTTTTGATAACATTGGTGTTTGTACCATCTTGGGTGCTCTTCGACTAATTTCAATTTCAACAAATGAAAAGACAAAAAGGAATTTCTTGCAGCTTTAGTTATACAAAATATTACTATGAAGTTGTTGCATTTCTATTGTAGCTTTTTGGGCAAGTTATAGGTTCAATAGAGGCAGTCGTATTTATAAGTATTACCACTTCTCGCTTACGTTGCTGACTACTTGTAGACCTCCTTGTTGATAGAGTGAAAATGATGTTGTGTGCCAGGAACTAATTTTGTAGGGAGTGTTTGGAATTACTTCATGTGACTGACCTATCAAAAGAAAAAAAAAACACGTGACTAGTTCTCTGTTTAAAAGGATGAACTATTCCTACAACAAGTGGAAACAGATCCTGCTGCTACCATGGGAAATCTATTTTTTCTTTCTTTTTGGGATGTCCTCTAGTATGAAGCCTGAGATATTATACTGATTGATTGTCATGAAAATATGTCCACTAACTGTATCTTTCTTTTAATCTCAGCCAAACTTTTCAAAGGTTTGCCGTAAGGACCTCGAAGAGAATAGATGATATATCTAAAATTGGTAACTAATAAACCAATATCTCTTCCTTGTTCTAGTCAAGTTTTCAGGCTGTTCTGAGCACATCTGTTTTCATACATGCAGCTGTGCAGACTACCTCGAAGAGAATAGATGATCTATCTAAAATGGGTAACTAATATACCAATATCTCTTCCTTATTCTAGTCAAGTTTTCAGGCTGTTCTGAGCACATCTGTTTTCATACATACAGCTGTGCAGACCAAGCGAAAAATTGCTGACCAGATCAAGGATGCGTCAAAAAACTTTGAGGTTTTAACTGTGAAACTCTTAAAAGTAATTATAACGAGTCTCAAACTAATGAGTAATTTACTAACTGATAATTTTTCTGCAGTCTTTCAAGAACAAGTAACTTGGAAGCAATGGTGTAAGGATGTACAAAGTTTCCTTTTTTCTCCCTAACTAATATTTTGAAGAAAATTGAGTCCTTGTTTCTGTGTGACTACAAAGCCTCGAGGATAATTGCAGTTCTGTAATGTGGCTTTGTTGCACATGGCGGTGTAGAAGTGATCTTAGTAATGATGCCATAATGTTGCATCGTATTGTTTTCCCATTTTTGTCGCTTTTGTGATGCGTTTTGCAAAGTCGCTTGTCAATTTCGAATCATGCCTCTAGAAAGCATGTGAAAAAAGTGCACAGAGTAGTTGCTCAAACTTTGGTGAATCTATGCTCTATAGCTTGGCATTTTATCTTTTATGTACAGGAGAGGCTATGAGAATTGAGAACTATGCACACCTTTAGTCTTGTACTGAATTTTCTACAAGCACACAGATTTTGGAAAAGCATTTGTTCATTCTTTTTGTAAGCTTAAATTAGCCTTGTGATTTGACCCTCTTTCTTTGTAGGTTTGGCCTTTCATATGCCCATGATCATAAATCATAATTTAAAAATATCAAGTCATCTTAAAATACAAAAATAAAATTAGGTTAAATATTTAATTGACCTATGTAAAACTAGAACATATATCCAATATTATTGTTAGCCTTTAGTGTCGAATTGATCTTTTTTTCTTTATTATTAATAGTATTGCTTTGAGTTTTTTTTTTGAGTTACTAAGATATGTGGGCTATCTATAGTTCTTATTGAATTATTTAAAAAAATTTGTCTAAAACATGAAATAATATGTTAAGATAAAAATTCTGATAAAGTTTAAGAAATATTTGTAAATTATATCACAATTGTATACATATAATGTTATAGATTGGTTTGAATTCTTTTTAGTTAAAACCAAATCAAACTAATTATGATCCATTTTTTTTCAATATCAAACCACTAATCAATTGTTATTATTCAATTCAACTCAAATAATCAATTTAGTGCAGTTTATCGGTTTTCCTTTGTACCCCTAATACTCATTATGAAGTGTGCATGGCTAATTTTGAACCAGTCTTTTCTGATGACCTAACAAGTTCAAATGGTTAGACTGTCTACGTCCAATGAGAGTTTATGTACACGCTAGAGGATTATAGTGACTTTTTTTTTTTGGTTTTCCACTTGATGTTCGGAGCTCATATTAGAGCCCCGATTAAATTCGGATTGCGCACGGCAGGGCCTATTCGGGAGTGGCGCTCCCAGCAAAATTTTCTCCATACTCAGAATTCAAACTCGAGATCTCTAATTAAGAGTGAAACAGTTTTACCACTACACCACAACTCATGGTGTATAGTGACAAAACTGCTTCTTATAAAGTCTTGCCAAGATGTACAAGTTAGGTTTTATTTTTTATTCAATTAAAGTCAACATTTGTTACTTAGAAATTAGAATACTACAAATGAATATTTTTTTTAAAAATAAAATAAAAAATAGAGAAAACATAAATGGGGCAGGACTTTTTTTTTTTGAAAAATGCTGAACAGAGCAGAGCAAGGCAGGTAAAAATTTTAACGGGTGAAGGTTTATCCACTCTGCCCTATTTACATCCTTATTAATATATATAGTGTTTAAGAGTCGTCCCACTTGACTCTAGTGTTATGACCTTTGAGGTCGAACCATTTTTCGTGTGTTTTGACTAATTCCACGGGATATTTATCAACTTCCACTATCAACAACATATATGAGGTAACTGTCCACCCAGACTAGGACAAGTGAGAAGAAACACCTATTTTTTGTTTATCTTCATTGAAATTTGAATATGAGATTTTATGGGTTTCAACCATTTCATTAACCATTAGGCAACACCTTCGGGTGCAACCCCAAATCCCCAATTGTATTTGGCTCTTTGCTTTTATTAATATATGAGAATCTTGAGTTTGCATCATCTTGGAAACTCAAAATCATGCACCCAAAACAAATGGTTTTGCTTGCTTTTTATATCTGTGTGTTAATATTGAAATTAACCATGGCCCAAACCATCACTAGAGGTACCAATGTCACAAAACCAGGATGCCCTAAGCAGTGTGGGAATGTAACGGTTCCGTACCCATTCGGTATTGGCTCAGGCTGTGCTTTTGATTCGGGGTTCGAAATTGACTGCAACATTTATATTAATGGTTCTCAGAAAGCCCTTATAGGAAAGTACAATATTGAAGTGTACGACATTTCGGATGCTGAATTGCGCATCTCCAGTGACTTTGGTTGGAGATGTTATGACTCCACCGGAGCTCTGCTCGATCAGGATATGGTTTCCATCACATTTTTAGAATCAAGTCCGTATAGTTTCTCTGCGCTGAATAGGTTTACTGTAGTTGGTTGCGATGACTATGGTTCCATCTCGGGGCCTAACAACTTTGAGTATGGCTGCAATGTCAGCTGTACAAGCAAAGAGGATGTGATGAACGGAGGAGAGTGTATGGGAAAAGGCTGCTGCCAGAAACAGATTCCTAAGGGATTGAAATACTATAACACAACCATGTCTAGCACCGGAAACCATACCGACATTTGGTCATTTAATTCATGTGGCTATGCATTTCTGGGTGAGGCTGATCGCTTCCTTTTCCGAGGCTTGCCAGATCTAGGTGATGATCTAACTGTTGATTATTTTTATGAGAGGTTAAAGGCCACTGTGCCCATTGTCCTGGACTGGGCCATCGGGAGTCTTACTTGCGCGCAAGCTCTGAAAAGAGAGGATTATGCTTGTAGAGAAAATAGCCACTGTGTTGATTCGGATACCGGTCTTGGTGGCTACCGCTGCAGCTGTAATACAGGCTATCATGGCAATCCTTATCTCAATCAAGGCTGCCAAGGTATATATAGGAACAAATTTGACACCTTTAAACCTTTATGCTGCATATTTGATCAACTCATGTGGTTTGATATAACAGTATTCTATTTATTTGGTTTTGCCAGATATTGATGAATGTGCTGATCCAAGCACCAATTTGTGTGAAAGGATATGCATAAACATCCCGGGGAGTTATAATTGCTCTTGTCCTGATGGATATACCGATGATGGCAAAAATGATGGTCGTGGTTGTATTCCTCCCTACTCTGTATTCCCATGGATCAACTTCTCTTTAGGTAAATATCTTGGAAAACTTTCATAACCACAAATTTTGGTATTTATGATGATTATGATCTAAGACAAAGATCAACTCAATTTTTTTTTCTTTTTGAAATCCAGACTTTGTTTGAATAATACAGAATGCTTTTTGGAACAATAAAAGTTAAATTCCACCTAATTATTCAGGTATCGGAATCGGCTTTATCTCCCTAGTGGTTGGGATAACCTGGCTCTATTTCAGCATCAAGAAAAGAAAATTGATTAAAGTCAGAGAGAAGTTCTTCCAACAAAATGGTGGTTTATTATTGAAACAGACAATCTCCACTAAAGAGGGTGGTGTGGAAGCAACAAGAATATTTACAGCTGAGGAGCTCAAGAAAGCTACAAACAATTATGCCAATGACAGAATTCTTGGTCGTGGTGGCAATGGGATTGTATATAGAGGTGTGCTACGTGATACTAGCATAGTTGCCATTAAAAAATCTAAAACTGTGGACGAGAGTCAAATTGAGCAATTTATCAATGAGGTGGTCATTCTAACTCAAATCAATCATCGGAACGTGGTAAGACTCTTTGGATGTTGTTTGGAAGACGAAGTTCCTTTATTGGTTTATGAGTGTGTCTCTGAAGGAAATCTTTACGAGCACATTCACAACCAACGTGGAGAGGGTTGGTTAACTTGGCAAAACCGTTTGAGAATCGCAGCAGAGACAGCAACTACACTTGCTTACCTTCATTCATTTGCATCCATGCCTATAATTCATAGGGATGTTAAGTCTGCCAACATATTGTTAGATAATGTTTACACAGCTAAAGTGGCAGATTTTGGAGCATCAAGGTTAATTCCTCTGGATCAAACACATGTGGCTACATTGGTTCAAGGGACATCAGGGTATTTGGATCCTGAATATTTTCGCACAAGTCAACTGACTGACAAAAGTGATGTTTACAGCTTTGGAGTAGTTCTGGCAGAACTTTTGACAGGGTTGAAACCTGTAATTAGAGATAAAAACGATGAGCAAAAGAATTTGGCTGATTATTTTGTTTCGTCCTTGAATAACAATCTCTTATTTCAAATTATTAATTGTCGTGTTCTGCAAGAAGGGAATCTTGAGCAACTTCAAAAGATGGCTGAGCTGGTGAAGAACTGTCTTAACTTGCACGGAGAAGATAGGCCTACAATGAAGGAAGTGGCTATTGAACTTGAATGTTTGAGGAAGTTAACTGGAGTCTCTGTGTCTAATCAACATGGACAGGGAGATAATGATCAGGATGACTTCTCAGATCTTTACACAGTTCCAATAGACCCCTATGGAAATACTCCCAATTCAGATAGTTCTCACATACTGCATCCTACATACATTCCAAGTTGATGTTATGTAGGCTCCTTTCCCTTTTACTGTCAATTTAGATTTTTCTTTAAGATGCAGTGTTGGAGATTTTCGCACATTTCATATACAGTACCTTTTGATGATACGTGTCCATTTTTATTGCTAGTAAATCTGATTAAATTGTCGGGAAAAAAATCACCCTCCTAGCAGCAAATTTAAGGATTGTTTTAGACCACAAGTTTCAAAAGTTTTCTTTTTCTTTCTTAAATATCGTGCCAAGTCAAATGATGCCGCATAAAATGGAACGGAAACACTATGAGGGTAAGATGTGGTGGAGGATTCCCACTCCAACAAAGATGACTTCTAGGAGTCAGAAACCTAAAATTTGGCTTTGTTGCATATGGCAATGTAGAATTGGTCTCAGTAGTAATGTCATGTTGCATTGTATGTGCTATTTTTTTCCCTTTGTGATGTGTTTTGCAAGTCGCTTGGATTTCCTGTACGCGATTCATGTCTCTATAAAGCATGTGAAATAAATGCACTTCTTCCATGTAATATTGGCAAGCATATAGGATATGGAATTTATTATAGCTGTCTTTCAAATATTCAAAAAGAGTATCCAGAGTTTGAACAGAGTAGCTTGGGCAATTCTTCCTTATCCAAATATTTGTGCCTCTAGTATTGCCTAGACAACGTTTTCCCTAGTTATGTCCATAACATATTTGTTTAATGAATATAAGAAAGTATTGATTATATTCCGTGGGTATTTAGAGGATGTTTTTCTTTTTGGTTTTTGTGTTTCTCATATACAGATAACAGATCATATCTCTACGCCGCTGAAATATTAAATATTGTTTACAGACAGCAATTCCTCTGTTTGATGATTCTGAATTTCAAAAACAAAGTTCTTCAAACACTAAGTAGACTGGAATTAGGATTACAGACTAAAACGCTGTTAAATTTTTTGGTTGTTTATGGACATTTTATCTTTAATATACAGGAGAGGCTGTTAATTTGCTGCTCTAACTATGGTGAGTTTTTGCAAATGTTAGAATACTTTACATACTTTGGATTATCACATTTTTGGCCTATGTGTAACAACAGAGGCGAAATCAGGATTGTAAAATGGCGGAGGCACTATTAAAGTTGAATGTGAGTTAATGAAGAAACGATACTTCATCAAAAAATATTGTCAAACAAGTATAAACATAGTAAATTAAGGGGGTGATACAAAAGTGTCAAATATCAAATGGGAATTTTGTCACAAGTAAGCTAAAATTAACAAAATCAACAAGGAAATCTAAGCAATGAGAGGGGGATTCTTGGGATGTGACCGGAATACGGGTTAATCTAAATTATTGGGTACATGCTTTCGATAGAAAATTTATAGAGTAATAGTGACTAGGCTAAACTTTATGTGGAAATAAGTTCTCTCTCAAGCAACTTACCCCGTTTCAAATGGGTTCCTCTCGGACACCCACTTGCCGCATGAAGACCAACCTACGTCTTACCCCACTCACTCTCTCGAGCTGAGTGTTAGGATATGGGACTAGGGTTCACTCTCTCAAGCTGAACCTCATGTCGAGCCACTCCTTAGGCCATCAATCTAGTAGTCTTGGTTTCACGACTTCTCTCTCGAGCAACCCAAAAACACATAAATAAACTTGTATTTGCAACTACAAATTTGTTAAATTCATCCACAACTACTAGACGAAATCACCATTAAACTACATCTAATCTATCAACAAGCAAGACCCAACAATTATCTTAACCCATATTCGCTAAATCACACCCCAAGAATTGGGGTTTTTAGCCACACATCAAGAGATAGAAATTTATACCTAAATGAGCTTGCATTCAAATGGGTATGAAGATTTAAGTCTTGTTACAAGCCAAGAATGAAGAATCCAAGAGACACAACTCCAAATCTAGAAAATGAAACCCTCTCAAACTTAGAGCAAAAATATCAAAAAGTACTATTATATATGAAAATTATAACAATTGTTCGACTCTTCAAACTAAAACTCTAACTAGTATTTATAGTTATTACAGATTTGTGCTGCAGCGGATCGTTCGGCGTCATTAATCGGAATCGCCGATCAACTCGGCGATTTCGCCCTTTAGTGTAGTTCACCGCCATCTTGTACCAGCCTTCAGCATCAGAATCGGCTTTATCTCCCTAGTGGTTGGGATATCCTGGCTCTATTTCAGCATCAAGAAAAGAAAATTGATTAAAGTCAGAGAGAAGTTCTTCCAACAAAATGGTGGTTTATTATTGAAACAGAGAATCTCCACTAAAGAGGGTGGTGTTGAAGCAACAAGAATATTTACAGCTGAGGAGCTCAAGAAAGCTACAAACAATTATGCCAATGATAGAATTCTTGGTCGTGGTGGCAATGGGATTGTATATAGAGGTGTGCTACGTGATACTCGCATAGTTGCCATTAAAAAATCTAGAATTGTGGATGAGAGTCAAATTGAGCAGTTTATCAATGAGGTCGTCATTCTCACTCAAATCAACCATCGAAACGTGATAAGACTATTTGGATGTTGTTTGGAAGATGAAGTTCCTTCATTGGTTTATGAGTATGTCTCTGAAGGAAATCTTTACGAGCACATTCACAACCAACGTGGAGGGAGTTGGTTAACTTGGCAAAACCGTTTCAGAATTGCAGCCGAGGTAGCCACTACACTTGCTTACCTTCATTCATTTGCGTCCATGCCTATAATTCATAGGGATGTTAAGTCTGCCAACATATTGTTAGATAATGCTTACACAGCTAAAGTGGCAGATTTTGGAGCTTCAAAGTTAATTCCTCTGGATCAAACACATGTGGCTACATTGGTTTTAGGAACTTCAGGGTACTTGGATCCTGAATATTTTCAGACAAGTCAACTGACAGAGAAAAGTGATGTTTATAGCTTTGGAGTAGTTCTGGCAGAACTTTTGACAGGGTTGAAACCTATCATTAGAGATAGAAACGATGAACAAAAGAATTTGGCTGATTATTTTGTTTCATCCGTGAATAACAACCACTTATTTCAAATTCTTGATCATCATGTTTTGCAAGAAGGGAATCTTGAGCAACTCCAAAAAACAGCTGAGCTGGTGAATAACTGTCTTAAATTACACAGAGAAGATAGGCCTACAATGAAGGAAGTGGCTATTAAACTTGAAGATTTGAGGAAGTTAACTGGAATCTCTTCGTCTAATCAAAATGGACAGGGTGATAATGATCATGATGAATTTTCCGATTTTTACACAGTTCCAGTTGACTCTTACGAGAATACCCCCAATTCAGATAGTTCTTGTATATTGCTTCCGAAATACAGTCCAAGTTGATCTAATGTAAGTTCCTTTCCTTTTTCCTCTCAGTTTAGATTTTTCTTTTAAGATGCAGTGTTGGAGATCTTTGCAGATTATATATGGCCGACCTTTTAATGATAAGAGTTTTTTTTTTCTTTTGTTGCATATTGCATTTTGACAAAATCCAATAGTCAAATCATTTGAAACAAATTTTATTTCAAGCCAACCTTACCTCAAAATGTGAAGAGTAGAGCGTTAGATAACATAGAAAAGCTGCAATGTAAACAGAGAATCATTGCTTATTTTATCTTTCAGTTTCCACTCTCATTAGACCAAAGTCCAAACCCAACAAAGATGACTTAAAACGCAACTAATAACATCTTAAGGATTTGGGAATCAGAACCTAAAATTTCGAATCAGGTTCTTCGGATGTCAGGATTATGTTAGCATTATTTTAACTCCATATTCATAGTAGTTGTTTGACATAGATTTCCTTCTTGATTATATCTGGTTTTCATTGCTGCTAAAGTTACAGCCTTTAACGGCAAATGCATTCCCAAAATGACTGGTTTTGAGTTTTGACCTTTGGCATCCATTTTCGGTTGTCGATAAATCCAATTAAATTACCACTAAAACTCACAAGCTTTAACAGTAATTGTTTAGCTGCTGCAATTATAATAGCTGCTAAATCCAATCCGAAAATGTCTAAATATGCACTTTTAACATCCATTTTTATTGCTGGTAAATCCAATTAAATTGTTGGAATCATCCTCTTAACCACAAATTTAAGGTGCATTATATTCTAA